TGTTGGTGGGAGTGTAGACTGGTGAAACCACTGTGGAAATCAATGTGGAAATTCCTCAAAAACTAGAATTAGAAGTCCCATTTGATCCAGCTATTCCCCTCCTGGGAATGTTCCCAAAAGAAATAAAAGCATCATACCACAGCGATATATGCACACCCATGTTTATAGCAGCACAGTTTGTAATAGCTAAATCTTGGAAACAGTTCAAATGTCCATTAACTGGTGATTGAATAAAGAAGATATAGTGTTTTTTATAGAATGGAGTAATACTCTGCCATAAAGAAAAATAAACTAGAGACATTTATAGCTAAATGGATGCATCTTGAGGCCATATTCTTAAGTGAAATAAATAAATCATGCATGTGTAAATACTAAATTATTTCTCTGGTGTGAAAAACTGAAAGTATAAATGAGAACTAAAATGTATAGTAGATAATGTGAAATAGGAAAATAATATTCAAAGAGGAAGGAGAACTGAGGTGGGGTGGGGGAAAAGAAAGAAGGGAAAGAAAAAAATGAAAATAAAGAAGGAAAAAAATGGAAACAAAGTCTTGGTAAATAGGGAGGGGGGGAGTTGCAAGAGAGAAGGGGATTGGGCAAAAATAAGAACCAAGATATTTCATGTACTGGTATAAATTCCAAGTGATGAATGCGATCATAATGTATACCTGAAAAGTACCAATAAACTTAATGAATAAAATAAAAAATTTAAAAATACCATATATTAAAATCCACAAAATTTCTCTTGGGGATTCTGTTAGCCAGAGTTATACAATGGCAACAAAATCATAGCACCACAGAGTTCCAGACCAACCCAAATCAGACATGCATAAGATTAATAATTAAACTTTTAGTGTTTTAAGCCAGTAGGAAAAAACTCAACTTGCTGAGTTGTTTTACTATTTTCCTTTATAACTCCAATTAAAGTTTTTATTTTGAGATAACTATGTTATTACACAGTAGTAAAAATGACAGAGAAACCTGCATAACCTTATCTCAGTTTCCAGTATGGTAACACTGAGAAAACTGTGGTACAACATCACAATCAGAATATTAACACTGATAAAATGAAATGAAATCAGCAGGGCAAAAAGACACTTTTACACCTATGTTTATTGAAGCCTTCTTTACAACAAGTAAAATATGGAATCAACCTAGATGCCCATCACCAGATGAAACCAATATGGTATACACATATAATACAGTGTTATTAAAACAGAAAAAAATGAAATCCTGTTATTTGTGGCAACCTGATTGGAACTGGAGGATATTTTTCTAGGTAAAATAAGCCAAATTCAAAAAGCACAATACCACATTTTATCTCTAATATATTGACCCTTACAATAAAATAGTCTGCTTGACTGTAAAACATATGTATACACTTGAAGTAGGAGGAGTAAAAGGGTGGATAAAGGGTGCTGGATTTGATTCACTTAGAGTATATCCACATTTGAAAATAGCACTCTGGACCTCAATGATATGTACAACTAATACCACTTAATCAAAATAAAACTAAATACAAAAAATGTTTCAACAAATCAATAGTCCCTGGCATTGACCTTTTAGACCTTACGTCTACCTTCCTCTCTTCCAGTGACTGACTCTTAAGAAAAAAATTAACCTATTCATCCTTTTTCATATTTTTATCATTTTAAAAATAATGTTTTGAATATAAAAATAGCCACTTGGGAAAAATAGTGGAGTTGATACCTGTGGGAGCTGTTTTTCCTGTGACTACTGTAGGCAACATGGGCATTGAGGTGAAATAGAAATAGATCCTAAGATTAGAATAAAACTCAGTGAGAAGCTATAAAACAATCTAGTATGCTAAGGTTTATAGCACCAGAAAGAAAGGATAAGGAAGTGAACCATGAAGGAATGATAAACACACAAACCAAAAATGGTGATCTCGGAATTGCTACCAACATAAACATATATTAATTGTTTTTGTTGTTGAATTCAGTTTTTTCATGTTTCTCCAACTTAAGACTACTTTTAATAAAAGGAAAATAGATGAGTATGATATGATATTTTAAAAGAAATGTTCCTACTGAAGACATATTCTTCAAAAAGTTGTCTTTTTTTATAAAATGGAGTACTACTCAGCCATAAAGAATGAGAAACTAGAGACATTTATAGCTAAATGGATGCATATTGAGGCCATACTCTTAAGTGAAATAAATAGGACACACATGTGTAAATACTGAATAGTTTCTCTAGTGTGAGAAACTGAAAGTGTAAATAAGGATTAAAATGAATAATTGATAATTTTAAATAGGAAGAAAAGGTCCAAAGAGTTAGGGGAACTGGGAAGAGGAAAGGAAAGAAGGGAAAGGAAAAATTAAGAGAAAAGAAAAAAAATGGAACCAAAGTCTATGTAAACAGGGAAGGGAGGAGGGGGTGAAGGGCACACAGGAAATGGGGAAAAAATAAGAACCAAGATACATCATATACAGGTACAAGTACCCAATGATAAATGTAAATATATTGTATACCTAAAATGTTCAAATAAAAGAATTTAAGCAAAAAAAAAAGTCCTATAGTAAAGAGATGATTTTCCAATTATTTCTGATCCTGAGATGGTAATAACATTGGAAAAGTTGGGAAATGACAAACTGGAGAAATTTGGATGGAAGAAAGAGCAGAAATTACAATCAAGGAAATTACATAAATTGTATAGGGAATATAAAAATCAAAGAAATGAAAACTCCAGAAAGAAAACAGAATGAGTAAATTCTATTTTCACAAAAAATTACAAATACAGTTCTGGTTTTGAGGCATTGAGTTCAGCAATCATGGGCTTTTATTCAGTCTCAGGACAATGGGCACATTTTCAGTTACCCTTCTGAAGAGTCTTTTCAGGGAGCTCTTAATGTCTTTATTCCGCAGACTGTAGATGAAGGGGTTCAGCATGGGTGTGACCACACTGTACATCACTGAGGCTGTTGCAACTGAGTGAGAGTTTTCAGTGACAGCAGAACTAAGGTACACACCTAGGCTTGTGCCATAAAATAAGGATACAACTGAGAGGTGAGAGACACAGGTGGAAAATGCTTTATATCTCCCCTGAGCTGAAGAGATTGCACATATGGAGGAAACTATCTTGGAGTAAGAGTATAGGATGGCAGCAAAGGGACAGCAGGCAATTAGGACAGTTGCAAGGTATATCACTATATCATTAGGAAAAGTGTCTGAACAGGCACAGTGGACTACCTGATTAAGTTCACAGAAAAAATGTGGGATTTCCAAGTCTATGCAAAAGACCAGCCACAACACCATTAAGCTTTGCACCAAGGCATGCAGGATGCTCACAGTCCAGGACACCAAAATCAGCAATCCGCAGAACCGGGGATTCATAATGACCATGTAATGCAGGGGTTGACAGATGGCCACAAAGCGATCATAGGCCATCACAGTCAGCAGAAATATGTCTACCACCGAAAAGATTAAAAAAAAATTCATTTGGGTGATACAGCCTTTATATGTTATGGTATTGTTTTGAGAGTGTATGTTCACCAGCATCTTTGGTACAGTGGTGGAGGTGAAACAGATGTCCACAAAGGACAGATTGGAAAGGAAGAAGTACATAGGTGTATGCAGGTGAGTATGTGAGATAATAGCCAGGATGATGAGCAGGTTCCCTAGCACTGTGACCAAGTATATGGAGAGGAACAGCCCAAAGAGAACAGGTTGTAATCTATGGTCCTCTGAAATTCCCAGAAGAAATGCCGAAATTTGTGTCTTGTTCTGTGTCCTCATTGGATTGATGTAACTAAAAAATAATAAAAAGTTAAATGACACAGTTATGTAGTAACAACTTGATGGAAATGCTGTCATATATATTCTATGGTTAAGACATGAATTCCTATGCTTTGTGTATGGATCTGTGTCCCTATAGATGATCCCCCTTGCCACTTTTTATTTTGAACACCTATCTCACACCCACCTCTTATAAAGAGGATGAATTTTCAAAAGTTTGAATTTCTCCCTGCCTTTGAGGAATATAATTTAGTGATCATCAGGTTCCAGGAAATGATTGGTTAGTACTAGAAAAATAAATATTCTTAGTTTCTGCTGAGGAAGAATAATACAAGAAAGTAGAAGTAGGTGAAGAAATAATCACTTAACATGTCACTTGGCAACAGTTACTATGAAGGAAAATATACAAATTCAGAAGGAGAAAGGAAAGAGGGAGTATTATTTTTACTGAATGCACAAGCAAGGTGGTATTTAAAAAGCAACCTCCAGGAAAATGGGGAGGGAGCCTAAGAGTTATCTGCAGAAGTGTGTATCTAGCAGGAGGCACAGGCAGTGCAAAGACTGAGGAATGTGTCTGTTTCAGATATTTATGGTCAACAAAGAGCCAGTGTGACATGGAGCATGAGCAAGAGGGACAGTGCTGAGGGGTGGGTTCAGAGAACAATGGAGAACAAAGGTGCCTCATTGCTGTTGAAGCTTCAACATACAGAAATTTCTCTCTCCAGATGTTTTAGCATGTGCAGTGTAGTAAGCTGGTTACAGTGGGTGCCCTGTGAATTAAATCCCCTAATTATTTACTTGTATTTACTAATATTCTGTCCTCTGTGATGGTATCTTTTAGAATATAATGAGTCCAGAGACACTTTCTCTGAAACCCGTTTTCATCACTAAAGGCAAATGTGTTCATGCACATGTGTATATACAGACACACACTCATGCACATAGACACAAACATCACTTAAAAATAAGATTCGTGCCATATCTTGGGACTGTGTTACTATCATGTTATCACCTCTAGTCCGACAGTTTAAAGGCAATGAATATTGCTGACTGTATAAAATTATTTTTCTCTAAGTGAATACATGAGTGTTATCCACAAATTCCACTTTGTAAGTCCCCCATACATATGTAACTTAAGGGCTCCATTTGGCCATGATGATTTTCAATCCTGTGTTGAAACAAATATTTAACATACTTCTCAAATAACAGAAAAAGGAAAGTTAATTAGCCTTTGTGGTGTGATAGTAGAATAAGCTACATGGTCCCCAAGAGATTGTAAGGGAAAAATACTTCCTAATTTTTGACCATATAACAACTCTGATTACTTCCCCTTGAGGGCTAGTGAAATTACTCGAGGACAAAAAAAAATTTCCCAGAAGACAAAAGTAATGAGCTCTTGTTGTCACAAAATTTAGAGATCGAACATCCATGTAGGAAACAAGTATAAAGAGGAGAATGAACCAAAAGTTTAGAAAAGTAAATACACAAGCAACTATATAATTGGAACATTTTTATATGAATTCTTAGAAGAGATTTTTCTTTTGTGCTTTTCAAAATTAATATCAATAATTGGATTCCAATGGTTTACTTATTTTCATTGACACCTCTCAAGTGTATGTATTTTTAGAATATAAGGAGGAATTTCAAAACATGTACATTGTGTGACGATCGAATCAGGATAGTTAACATACCCATCATTTCAACCATACCTCATTGCATTGTGCTGAGAAAATTAAAAATTCTTTTTTATTTATTTTCAAATATATAATGCATTGTGATTAACTATAGCCCTTCTACTGAGCAATAGAATAGTAAAATTTACTCCTCCTATCTCAATGTAAATTTGTCCCTATCAATTAACCTTTCACTATTCTTGAGCCCTCTCCTTGACCCTGTCTCTGATAACCACTATTCCATTCTCTACTTGTATAAAATCAACTTCTTTAGATTCCACAGTGAAAATCAATGGGTAATGTGTTCCAGCAACATAAGCCACAAAAAACAAATATTAGTAGGTTTTTACAGGCAGTAACAGATGGAGCAGGCTCTTTTCTCCATTTTCTGTGAGGTAACTTGCCTGTGTTGTTCTCAAATTTTCAATTTTGAACTATTTGAACAAATCTCAAATTGGAATATTCTAGTTCTTATTGCAGTCTTCATGCAACATGAAAGGCTTGTGTGATGATATTCTATAAAATCTCACGGTCACCCTGACATATCTTTCTTTTTAAACTGAATTAAGTCAGGCATGTGGCTGATTCCCAGGAATATTTCATCACACACATCTTTGTACATCTCACCATGCCTCAACATCATGGAATAGATTTAAATGCGGAGAGATTTTACCTGCTTTATTCACTTTTGGGTTTTCACAGGGTTATATGAATATGTTTACATTATGTAGAGTAAAGTTAAGGAGAAGAAAAAGTTGAGCAATTAAAAATAATTCCAAGGGGATAATAATATCAGGTTTAATTGTGGGGTTACAAAAGCTGTATTAAACATAATTTAATGATGCATTAAAGCATTGCATACAGCATTACATGAAGCATACATCCAAAAAGATATACAATACGAATAATTTAATGTTATGAAGATGGATTGATCATTAAATTGGCAAAGATTTGGACATAATGTCTTACTTACTCTTCTGTCAGTGGGACAAAACACTCAACAATCCCAATTTAAAGAAGAAGAGATATATTTTGGCTTGTGATTTCAGTCTATGGTCATCTGCTCCATAGCAGAAACAGGATGACAGAAGAACATGGCAGAGGAAAAACAGCTCCACCCTTAACCTCCCGGAAGCTGAAAGAATCAGGAGGAGCCAGGGAGAATGCACCTTTCCAAGTTATGCAAGGACCTACCTCCTAACAGCAGGCAGCTACAATACCCCCATGACCCAATCAACTTCCAAACACATGATACATTCAAGGATATTTCAAATCCAAAGCATAACAAAGAAAATAATTATTTCCTTGTAATATTGTGGCATGTCAAAGACTTTCAGTTACAATTTAATGAATGAATCATTATCAGTGGATTTTTAATTAATTTATTTGGAAAAGCTCAAATAGTTAAATAAAAGCTGGTATAAGTGGCTGTGCATCTAGAAGAAAATGATGTTGGTTCCCCAACTCACATACCTTACAAAAATTAGAGGAATTTAAAACCTTAATATGAAAATAAATAAAGTTTAGAAGAACATCATGAAAACCTCACATGAGTTTCACTTTGGGAAAAATCATCTGGAATGAGGCAAAAAACTCAGAAATAATAAGATAAGTATTTCACTACATCAAATTTAGTTTTTTATAGACACTAATAATGTCAATAAGAAATAATAAACTGGAAAATTGCATTGAAATGCTGATAAATATAGAAATCAGGTGTAAGATATTAATAAACAAGTCAAAGTAGCGTTTCATCTCAGAAATAAGAAATACACTCACTTTACTTACGTCTTACCACAGATAATGCATTCCTTTTTTCACCTAATTAATTACAAGGGTCTATGGACACTTGAAACCACTTTATGCCTCTCAATCCCTCTTGTAATTTAGCTTTTGTTGTCATTGCTTAACTGTCACATGACCTTTGTATTACTTAGTTCATTGTTCCCTTCACTTTTTAACATGGTGAATAAATATATCATCAAATTAATGAAGCAAGCAAGCAAACAACCACAGAATTTCTCAGCTGTTAGTGAGGTTGCATTTGGTCTCATTCACCTTAGCTAAATGATCTTGTCTCCCAGTCATTAAGCAACTGCCTTATAGCACCTGCTGGGCTGTTGCACTCACTTGGATGGGTTTTCTCACTGGAAGGTCTCTGTATATAAGTTCAAATTCCTTGCTGGATAGATGAAGATGGGGACTGAAACTGTGCTGCCAGACAAGACAGAAAGAATTGGACAAGCGTCTGTTCCCAACCAGATGCAGGAATTCAAAATAACAAACCAAGTCCCATCCGGATGACTGTTGCATACACTAATGGATAACAACAAAGGAGATGTTTACAGCTTTAAATATCTTCTCATTAGGCACATTTCTCTCTTGTTATTCCAACTCGGAGCACATAATTTCCCTGTGGGATGATGTGGTGTTCCAAAGGATTTTTTTCCTTGTTGGTTCTCTCTTCCCAAGACATCAGAATGAATGAGAGGTGAATCAGTCTTTATTACTCCTTATCTATAAAGTGGCCTTCCAGGTATCTAACCTCCTATCATCCTTAGAGCTGTCTTCAAAATTGAAGTTTGATAAATGTGCCTTGACTAGGTTCCATGGGTTCTCAAAAGATCTAATTTGTGTAGGAGACACATCCATTTATATCCCCAGAAAATTTACTATTTCTTCAACAAGGGGATGAACTTGTGATCACTTTATATGAAAACATGAGGGGCCGTGGATTTAGCGCAGTGGTTTCACCGCCTGCTGCACAAGCGCCAAGGACCCGAGTTCGATCTCCAGTATCTAAAAAAAAAAAAACTATGAGATAATAAACTTCAATTTCATGATGTCTTTTTCCATAATAATTAGAAAATATCATGCTTACAACACAAGAAAGAGTTGCCATTTAGATGTGAATTTATAAAATGTTTAATAATCTAAAATGTATTGAGTTGTTTTTTGTATATTGGCCTGAAATTAACAATTTATGATCATTATCTTATTTAGTTTTTGTAGAAGTCTGTTCTTTGTAGCCTGTACAGTACTGAATCTAATTCTATATTCCTGTAAATAGGGCTAAGAATTGTGATCTGTCCAATAAGGTCCATTAAAAAATAGAACTTTAACATATGAATTTTAAAAATCTTTATTAGTACATATATGCAGATCCTAATGACTACATTCCTCAGGGGGAGTTGGTATACGTACATAACACATTTTAATTCTTTTTTTCCCTTTCCATTCCTTCCCCTTTCCCTCTCCCTTGTTCCCCTTCTCATTTGAACATGGTTTTCCTACTTCCCAATATTTTGGTCCTTATTTGTGCTTTTG